TTTTCTTCAGGCTCTCCTAGCAGGTTTCAATTGTGATCCAAACCAATACCTACCTCTTTCCTCAAAGAAATTATAAATACTGAAAAGGAAACCAAACATGGTGTTTAAATTGTCTGTTTAGGTAAAAATGTGATTTTTGGTAACTAACAAAGTAGAATACTACTCACTGACTACCGTTTTAAATCTCACCTCTGGGCCGATGGAACATAATAAAATTCCAATAGACATGTGTTCATGGAGCACCTACCCGCTCTCAGCCAAGCCAGTGACCACTGGGCCATGGTGCCATCCTGGTCTGGCTCCTGGCTTTCCACTGGGCTGTCCCAGACTACACACAGCTTAATTCTGGTTTAATCCATGCTCCGAGTTCTCAAGCAGGAAACAGACAACCTACCATCCTCTAGAACCAGGGCATCTGACAGGGAACTGTCTTCACTGGCAATATTTCCATCTGAGAAGACAAAAGGCAAAAGTCTATGAGTTGAGCACATCCGTCCCTTAGACAAAGCCCTATTTGTGAGAATCGTGGGTTTCGCACCATCCCATACCCTCCTCTTTTTAATCAGCAAGAACCCATGAAACACAACCAAAATGCCACTGGGCATTTCTTTGGACAATCCCCGTGGCGGGTCGTGACCTGTCCCCAGGCCCCAGACACTGCAACACGCCCAGTCCTTGTGTATCTGGGCTCTTGTTCCACTGGAGGCAGCCATGCTGAGCGGCTTGATATCCACCTGGCAGGACTGAGCCACGTCACTGTCCCAGCCCATCTCAGGGTATGTTCCCACTAAACCCAAGAAAATATACTGAGACTATTCCACACACACAGAACTAGGGCAAGGAACTTGGTTTTGTTCGTGTGGCAGTAAATGGCTTCCCCATGAACTTCTGAAGTCATTAGCAGATAAAGCAAGCTTCTAAATACAGCTCCTCTCTCTCCAGAGCTTATTTTCACAGACACCATTCAATTAGCCATGAGAACACACCCAGAGACAGACAGTAGGATCATCCTCCCCCTTCGACAGCTGGGGAAACTGAGGGACATCAGGGCTGCTCTGCTCTCCCGGTTAAGGTAGCAAAAAACTCCAGGTCTTCAGATCCCAAGTTTAGTGTTTTATCTCGGGAAATAACAGACCAGACTAAGGAACGAAAAAGAAGCTTAATTACTCCTCTAATTCAAGCGGGCTCCTGTGATGAAACTATTTCCAGGAGGCAGGAAAGCAGGCAAAGTATATTCTTGAGCGGTTAAAAACAAGACGGCTGCCGGCCTGCCTGGGACCATCCTCCAGCTGGTCAGACAGTGATCTGAGGACAGACCCTGATGCTCGTCCTAACTGAGCGGCCCTCGCTGGGCAGGCTGGCCAACCACGCTCTTCTGGGGCCAGATCGGCGAGACCTCCGTCCATCTGGTGCTCCTGCATCAGCCTTGCAGACTGGGTCCCCTGAGTCCCCGCAAGGGGCAAAACGAGGTCCTAAGACAGAAGGGCTGGCTGACTGCAGCTCTGTTAGGAAGCTGGGGCAGAACGACAAAGTCCCGGCCAAGGACAACAGGGTGCAATGGGGAAGGAGAGTTAATCCAAATCTCCTAGAGCAAAAGGATTTTTTTTTAATGGTCTCCTTCTCTCTTTTAACTAGGAATTCGCTTTATTTGTCACACTTCTTTTTCCTACACTTTGAGGGAGAGGTAATTAGGTTTATTTATTTATTTTTTAAATGGCTATACTGGGGATTGGACCCAGGACCTCGTGCATGCTAAGCACGCGCTCTACCACTGGGCTACACCCTCCCTCTGTAATTCGCTGTATTCTTATTGTTTGATGAACCATGAGCAACTGGGAGACACAGCCTTGACTAGCATCTTGGAGTCTCTGGTCTACCCTTCCTTCCCTGATACACCCACATTTTTAGGTTGCAGCAAAAAATACACACACACACACACACACAACAGTAGTAAAATACACATAACGTAAACTTGACCATTTTAGCCCTTTCTAGCTGTACACTGCAGTGGCATTAAGTTCATTCACACTGCTGTGCAGCTAACACCCCCATTCCTCTCCAGAACTGTCATCTTCCCAAACTGAAACTCTGGCCCCACAAAGCATTACCCCCCCGTTCCGCCTCCCCCAGTCCCCGGGAACCTCTCTTCTACTTTGTCTTCCTGGAGCAAAAGTATTCTAAATGTGTCTCACCTATGAAAGGCAACTTGATATATATTTTAAAGATTTTACTGACTTGGGGTGGGGGGAAAGGATGATTACAGTTTGACAGACTTGATGGTTGGTGGTGAATTCTGCGGTATTTCCTTCTAGTGTTCACCAGATGTAATATCCCCAACACCTAGCCCCGAGTTTTGGGGGTCTAGACCATGGTGGTGGGGGGCAGTCCAGTCTTCCCCAGCTTCCCCAGTGTTGGGACAGAAGCCCCTGGAGACAGAGGAGGGCTGCAGGGGGGCTGGCCTCAGGGTACCCCAGCCACCCACCTTTCCTTCCAGACCTGGGCAGGGTGGCCAGGTGCCTGAGGGTGCTGGAGCCTGGGGGGCTCCGGGCCGAGCGCTGGGGGGGGGAGTGTGGAGCCCCTGCCCATTGCCGCAGGCTCTCCCAAGAGGCCATAAGGAGCATGGTGACAGCTGTGTAATCCCTTTCCTCTGGGGACCCGAGAGCGCGCTATTGCTCTCACTGGTATTGGGTCTTTCTAGCTTCATTTTATGGATGGAAAAGTTAAGGCACCGGGTGATTAAGCAGCTTGCTAGGTCACTCAGGGAGCTGGGCTTCTGTCCCCACCCAGGACGGCGCCGGGTGCCCTGCACTGACCGTCCATGATCAGCGAGGCCCTCTGGGTGGGCTTCTTCCCAGACTTGATGCGGTTCTCATTGATTGCGCTTTCAATCTCCTGCAGCTTCTTCAGTGCATTCAGGTAAGAGGTTTTCCTCTGCTTCTTGAGTTTTTTGCTGACGTTCGGGTCACTGGCCAGGCGGCGGGCAGCCTCTGTGATCTGGGACTGGATGGCAAACTCGCGCTCCAGGCGTTCCAGCTCGGCTTCCTGCGGGAGGGAGAGGCCAGGCCACACTGAGTGGGATGCTGAGCGGGGTGACGCTGTCCTCCCGCCCGTGCCCCACACGAGCGCGCCTGAGTCCTTGGGGACACGCGTACTGGGAAACTGGCAGCCTCATGCCCAACCCCAACCTTGCCTGGCCCCGAAGTGGCCTGGTTCCTACGATCTCTGGGAGCCGGGGCCCTGGACACACCCACTTTCCACACTCGGTCCCTGTGCCAGTCTGGAGACAAGCACTGGTCCAGAGACTGGCACCATCAGCGAGAAGCTGAGTGCTTTCTTGCTGCAGGCCTGGGGGTCCCTCGGGTTCATTTCCAAGGTCTCCAGCAAGGTTCTCGAAGACCAAGTCTCCGTGGAGACCCAGAGCCCATCGGGCTGGCATTTCCTGTCGTCTGGGGCGGAGGCAGTGGCGCTGCTTTTGGAGTGGTCTTTGCCGGGCTTTCCTGAGGGTCTGTTAGCAGGGGGCTCACGGGGGCGCATCCGCCCTCCCCCAGCACATCCCTCTGTCTCTTTTATTTTGAACCCTTTGTGCTGAGACTTATTCCTGCTCACTCACGCCTCTTTTGGAAACTCTTTTTGCGAGTTCCAGCTGTCCTCTGAGACGGCCTGGTTCTAACACAGCAGGGTTCCGACTGGCCCCGCATGAGGGTGGCAGCAGTTCCCCAGCACCTTGGACGGCTCCAGGGCATGCTCCTTCCTCTCCTGGGCGCCTCCCTCCCTTCTCTACCCCTTACTTTGGCAGAAGGAGCAGATGGATGAATTTCCCCCCAAACAGAGTTTCAGACCTGGGAGAAAGGAAGCTGTGGCTGCCAGAAGATGCCTGGTGGACCCAGAAGATGAAACCAGGGACAGCGTATTATCTGCTGGCTTCTCTGCAACTCAGCCAATGCCTTTTTCAAACACTGACCAGTGATGCCGGGGGAGCCCAAGACACATCCTGCTCTGGGAGACGCACAGTCTGGCGAAAGCCTGAAAGGGACGGATCTCGCCACGTAAAAGCAGATCACCGAGTCTGCTGGACTCAACAGAGCTTCCTAGTTAATGGCCAGAGATAACATCCTTGCCTCTGGGTACCACGTCCCAGGCTGGGGACCTCCATCCAGCACAAAACTCTGAGCTGGACCTCACTACCTACTGAGCGCTTTCAGCTTGAAGGGACGGGAGACCAGGAGTGAGAGGGAAAAGGGTTAAAGGAACTATTTGGGGTTAACAGACTCCCCAGTTCCATCAAATGCCCGCTGCATTTGTTCTTAGTCGAAGAGTAACTGGGATGGCCTCTTGCCCGGGGCCTGGAGACAAACGAGTGACCCAGGACAAAGACTGTTCTGTGAGTGTGACTCCACCTCACAGCTGTTCCCAGGCCGTCAGGGCGGCCCTGGCCCAAGACACTGACCCAGAGGTTTCTGGGAACCCAGGACAAATTCTCACTACTTAAACCGAGCCCAGGACAAGGCTGGCGGCCTGTCCACGCAGATGGCTGCCTGCTGTGTGAGCAGGGTGAACAAGGGCATTTCAGGGAGAAACAGGAACTCCCCCAAGATATCCGCAGGGACAATGGAGGGAGACGGGGATGCAACGGAATTCTCGGGGAGCCAAAGGCATCTTTTACTGGAGGCTGTGAGTGAGGCATGATGAGGTGATGGGGCCGCGGGAGGAACAATGCGGCTGGGGTGGGAGAGGGGAGGGGATGGGGGGAAGGCACCCACTCAAGTGGGGTCTCCCTGGAGAGCTGAGTGCAGGTGGCTGCCCGGCACAACAGGAGTGGACGTTTCCAGGCAATTCTGATGACAGCCGGGTTTGAAAGCTACTCCACCAGATGGTCTCCTGAATCCCACCAGCCCTCACCCCAGTTCTGACCCTGATAAGGTCCCAGGCCCACCCGCAGCCCGGTACCTCTCCTCTGACACCTCCTCAAGTTTACTGAGGTCAAGCAGGCGTCAAGTACTGAGTGAAGTGCTTCCCGTAGCCTGGCTCCCTGAATCCCTGCGACGGCCTGAAGCAGTGAGGATTACGGGCTTGGCTGTACAGAAGAGGAAAACTGCCTTTCTCTTTGGACGAAGCTTCTGGGAGTGTCCCCCAGTCTCCCGGGGACGGGGACCTACTATTACAGACCTCAGAAGACTGATCCACGCCTTCCCTCATCCCCAGAGCCCGTGCGTTTCCCTCTGAACTCACTCTCAGGCCCCCCCCCACAGGTGCTGCGTGAGGATGTCAGTTTCTCTCACTTTTCAAAAAACCTGAACACATACAGTATCCCCTTCTCCACTGGCTTCGATCCCTGCCCTTTTAAGCCTCCTGTTCAATGGCATTTTAATGAGTAACTTGGTTTGGAATAAATTTGGAAAGACATTTCCTGGACATGCCCTGGGGTCTGAGGTGTGCCTGGCCTTGAATTTCTCTTGGTCTGAGACTGGATAACTTATTAACTGGAGAGCCAAGTGCCCCCTGCCCCCAGGTCTGAACTCCCCGGTCCCAGCCCCCACCGATCTTTAGCCAAAGAGGGTAAAATAGAAGGATGCTTCACTGGCTCCTCTGAGCGCAGGCAAGGGAGGTGGGGAAGGCATCCTGCTCAGGCTCTGGCAGTGATTCTAGCAGCCGAGTGGAGGTAGGACCACCGGGGGCAGGCCTGACTGTCTTTCCCCAACATCATGCACCTGCTGGCGTGACCTCTGTTTTCTTTCTTTTCTGGTTGTTTTCTAACACATTACGCTTGGCTCTCAGTAACAATTGCTGGGAGGCCATTAAAAAGTACATGTGAGCGTTATGGAATATTCTTCCATTAACCTGGCCACTTGCGACCGGCCTGTCAAGTTAGACACACAACCTCCACGGAAATCACAAATTACAAGTTCACACAAGGCAACTCGTCAGTCCTACCAGCGGGAGCCACGGGCTAACCAACCAGCTGACTTAAGAGGAAGAGGTCAAAGGAGATGCTCGGGAGGAAAGAGGAAACAGCATTTGGCATCAGGTAGAATGAAGACACCGAGGAGCCTCTGCCCACGGGAACGTGAGGCGGGTGTGAGAGGGTCCAACCCCAGAGAGAAGCACGCACCTCTCCTTTGGGCAGGATTTTCTGCTCGTCCAGTTTGAAGGCGGTTCCAATTCTTCTTCGCACAATGGGTGGCTCCTCCCCCGGATCCAAGGGATATTCGACCGGCAGCTTGCCTGTCAGCTCCTGCATCAGTGCAACAGCACGAGGGGGGAGGAGATCAGAGGAGTGCGTGACCGGTCTCTCGGACGGACAGACGGGGACACACACACACACACTTCAAAGCATAGACTCAATGCATAGATTCCAACCTTACGCAATATTAAGGTTAACGGGAGTTCCTGCAATGCAATTTTGTTTCTCTAAAAATGTCTGAGAGCAGTCCTTCCTTTATGGACAGATGCCCTTGGAAAAGTTTTTCCCAAAGGAAATTCCTGTTGAGTAAATAAAATCACCATTGGCTTCCATCATAAAACCCAAATTTCATTCATTTGTACACTTCCCAGGTATCTCCAGCGGGCCTGCTCTGAACCTGGCGAGGCCGCCTGGCCAGGAAGCAGCAGAGCCATCATGAGATCGCCTGTCTTTCTGGCTCCAAATTCTGTCCCCTTCTACTGATCATCGAATAGTCCCTCTCAAATATTCTGAAAGGTTTAAATGAATTTTCTTAGGAAGAGCAGTATCTACATGGCAAATCCCAGAAAAAGGCATTATTATTACATAATTCAGAAGCTGAGTATGAGTAATAATTATTCTGTTCTGGCCAGATGCTCAAGGAACAGGCTGAAAAGACATTAAATATGTACAGAAGTGAGTTTCAGTCAAAAGTGAAAATATAAATTCACATTATTGACAAGTCTGTTTTTAAAAAATCTGGTGTGTGTGTGTGTGTTTGGGGCTCTGGAAATCCCATTGCTGTGGACATAATGACAGTGAATTTAGTTGACAGACCGCCATAGTGACAATCACTTAGACATTGCATAAAGGTCTGTAGAATGATTCAGGGTTAGAATTGGGCTCTACATGAGTGGGTTATGTCTGGGCTTGAATAAAGATCAAATTTGAGTTAGCAGTTCATCTGTGTGGTGGAGCCAAGTCATCAACTGCAAGGAATCACTTCCAAGGACCGGAAAAACCTGGGAGAGCCACTGCCTGCCTCCAGTGGGACAGGTGGCACTCCCAGCTAGAGCCCACCCCTGGCTTCCAGTCCCTTTGTGCACGGAGGCTGCACAAAGGTGCAAGGAGCCGCTCTGACGGTGGGGGAGCTTGGCAGGCTCTTCTCGGGAACGTTGAGATGGATGTCTGAGCCCGCTAGGGTGTGTGAGCGTGCGTGTGAGTGTGTGCAACCAGCAGTACAAGCACACCCAGCCCCCACGATCCTGGACTGCTTGCCTCCGGGGTTCAGGCCACAGGGAAATGACCTCTTGGGCTTCTGATTCCTCGGTGTAAGCATTTCAGAGCACAATGGCCAACTCTTTATGTCTGAAATGCTCTGCAATTTTCTTTTCGTTTTTTTTTCTTCTGCTTTTTTTTTTTAAACGTGGTTCAAATGTCTCCAAAATTATGTGTTTATTCTGCACCATTTTCATTGGCTTCCCTAAAAGTATGCCTCTAAAAAACATAACTTATGGGGGATTTTTATACTGTTAGGACTTTCTTTTTTTTACCTTGAAACTTATAAAAAGGAGGGAAAAGCTGTTCAATCGGCCATTGATTTATTATAACTCTGCAGAGTCTGTGGTGTGAAAACAAAATATCTTTTTGAAAAAATGGAGCTACTGAGTTTTCCACCAACTGCTCAAAAGTATTCGGGTCTAGGTCTTGACTCTCCGTATTTAATCTGATTTCACATGTAACCAGAGCTGCGTGGAGAAGGAATAATTCAAGACACTCTGTCAGGGAGGTTGGCTTGGTTCCCCTTATATTCTTTTTGTTGTTGTTGTTATTGTTTTGGGTTTTTGTTCTGTTTTTTTTTTTTAATTTGGAGTGGGGAGGTAATTCCTTCCTTCCTTCCTTCCTTCCTTCCTTCCTTCCTTCCTTCCTTCCTTCCTTCCTTCCTTCCACGGAGGTGCTGGGGACTGAACGCAGGACCTCGTACATGCTAAGCACGTGCTCTACCACTGAGCTGTACCCACTCTTATATACTTGTGTTGGTTATATTCTGCCAAACGCTCCCCCCACCTCATTCTGGCTGCCCCACTCCCCAACAGACGAAAGGCGCTTCTCAGTCCCCTGAGCAGCAGGGCATGGCATGTGGGATACAGTGAAAGGGCAGGACAGAGTTAGCCAGAAATTCTCCTGTCCCGTAACCTCAGAGGAGTCGGGGACTGGTGGGAACACAGACCCACAGACGCAGTCTGCCCGCCACTGGCTTCTTGGGAGGTTATTTTTGACCCTCAAGTTCTGTTTTCGGGTGTCAACAGTATGAAAAGCAGCTTTGTTTTCCTTATTTTGCTTTTATTTTTAAGAGCAGCGCAGAGACCTTTAACAGGCGTGCTAACCTTGCCTGGACATGTTTCACCGATTTTCTGATGCCGATTCCCTGCTGGGTTTAGGGATGTTGCCTTTATTAAAAACAAAACAAGGCTTCACAAATGATTAAATGCAGACATCCAAACCCAGGCTTTTTCAGTCCTTCCAGCATAGTCTTTATAAAAAGATTGCTAATAGTCACAGCGTCACAGAGCACATGCCCCAGCCGGGACAAGTGCTTTCCGAAGATTTACCATGGATTTGCGCTAACATGGGTCCGCTTTGAGCCGGCTCCGGTTTAAAATGAATCCAGAGCGTAATGAAGCCAAGTTGGACTGTAATGTGATCTCATGCCGTGGCCCCATGTTTCATTCCTCCTGGGGCAAGACATTGCTATTTGGGGGAGGGGAGCAAGGCTCTTGGATTTAGTTCGGAAACCTCTTTATACTCCCCCTTCTGACCTGTTGTCCAACAGGGGTCCCTGTGATGTATATGCGGGGCAATCTCTCTCCAGAAGGCTCCCACCCCAGTGTGCCCATGTGCAAGCACAAGCACACATGTGCGCACACACACACACACACACAGAGGATCATGAGCTGCACTGAAAAATCTAGTCTTCACACATGATAACAATGAATCCTGGAGTAAGGAGAAGATGGTGGAAACGAATGTTCAAATAAATATGGACAGTGACCTGCAAAGCCTCAAATTCCCAGTGAGACAGGAGACTAGTGCACATACTAGCACTGCTTCGCATGCATTTAAAGGAGACTTTTTAGCTTACTAGGCTAAAGTTTCATTTAAAAAAAAGTGGAGGAGGGTCTAGCTCAGTGGTAGAGTGCTCAGCGTGCACGAGGTCGTGGGTTCAATCCTCAGTACATCCATAAATAAACAAACAAACAAACCTAATTACCACGCCCCAACAAAAAAAGTGAAAGATACACCAGATTGTGAATTTTAAAGGGGATCACGCATCAGGTGAAATCTGATTTCCTTGTTGAACCCCAAGGATGCCTCTCAATACGATCTCCAAAGGTCAATCTGAAATACACTCAAGGAAACCAAAAGCCGCCACAATGATAAACTCAGGCACAAGATCTTAGGAAAATGGTAGCAAACCATCATATCCAATGCTGCACTATTACATGACGAAATGCTTTATAAACTACGGGGCACCGTGCAAATATTATTGTTCACAATTGTTATCGTGACTATTGGTAAGACTTGTCATTTGGGCCCTAGTGGGGCCCCATGTGGGATTCAGCCAGGACCTGCTTTCACTGGGGTCAGGGAGTCTCCTTCCGGTCCAAGACTCCTGTTTCTGATGGGGCTCATCCCAGGGGCTGGGTGTTGTCAACATCTGGGTTTCAGAAGAGCTGTTGCTCCCACTTACACTCTTCATGCAGCCCACCCTGGCCTTTTATAAAAAGAGAAGACAGATGAGGGCAGGGACAACGCAGACTTCCCCAGGACGGAACGGTCACTGCTTACCGCTTCCCGGAGGCAGAGTTTCTTCAGCTCTTCCAGCCGCTGGCGAAGGGTCTCCTCCAGGGCTTCCTGCCTGGATTTCAAGGCTGCCAGCATGTCTTTCTTGGCCGACTGAGAACTGTCTGATTCCTGAGAACCTGTCAATTAACAGTGAGGTCACTCGGCAGCTGACAAGGGGACGCACATCTGGGCCACGAAGGAACTGAACCAGAGCCCACGCTGCGGCTGGGGGATTTACCCCCGGAGTCCAGGGAGCGTGAAATGAAACAAGTGCTCAGCTCCAAGTGTGAGGAGCGGACTCTCAGCGCTCGGTGTAACTGACAGTCAGTCAGAAGGGCTGACAGGGAAATGCACACCTCTGAAGAAGTCTGTCTCTTTCTTGATTATCCCAAGCTCTGTCTCACACCCATTGTAATTTCCCTAGCAAATCTTCATAGACTTTTCCTACCATGAAGGGGCAAATGAAGTGTAAGCCAGTCATTCTGATATATAGTTTTAATTTTTTTTCCTTTAAAAATGCTTTCCTTTTTTTGGCTTAGAGCAAAGATAATGCACACATAGCATAAAAATTCTGACAATGCAGACACGTGTAAAAATAATCCACAAGCTAGGCACCCAGAGATAACCAGTAGAGCATTTTCTTTTGGCTTCTTAATCTAGGCATGTATATTTTAAAAATAAAATTAGCTTTGATTGTATTTTTTCAGCTCAATCCTCTATCATGAGCAAAGTCCCTCCTAATAAAAGGTACACATATTTTCACACGCAGCACAGAAATATCTGCTTGGATGATTCAAATAGCAGACTGCCAGATAGGAACCCTTTGTGGAAGGCCAACTGTAAACCAAACAGAAGGAAAATAAGCTGAAATGCCAACTAGAGAGACTTAGGTTGGACCAGAAGGACCACTTCTGGGCTTCAGTGTTTGGGTTCTGAAACGGTTTTCCCGCAGTGAAGCTCTCGTACCTTCTCTGCCTGGATGGGGTAGGCAAGGCGCCGAGAGGGGGACTGCCTGGGAGGGGGAAAGCTGAAGATTCCTGGGCCTCTTGTGCCCGTGTCAGAGACGGATGGGCATTACTGCGTGTGCTTTCTGGGGACTCAGGTGATGCCACCTCCAACAGCAGCAGACAACGTCGAACCCTTAGGGAACCCATCTAGGGAAGGATGTACACGATTCCTACTGAGAAGCCTAATACTCTGCTGAGGAAAACTAAAGACCCCAGACAGAGGGACGCACTGTGGCCACAGATTGGAAGCTTGACGTCATAATGATGTCAAATTTTCAGGAGCTAAATAATAGAATCATTGTCATCGCAATAAAACTGCCAGTGAGATTTGTTGGACCGAAGGGTAGGAACTGCATTTCCTCCTGAAACATTTTGGGACAATTCCGTGAACGGATGACAGATTTGAGAATCACCCAATCGTATTCCCAGAGTCGACTGCTCTGTTTCTTCCAGTGGTAAAGAAGTCATCTCAGAATCATAAGACTAGAAGGGACTTCTACGCTTTTGTATCAAGAACCCCGCAATACTCAGTTTATTCCCATAAATACACAATTCTGAATCTCGTTTTTAGTCTCTGAGCAAGAAACTCCATATTCCCTAAATTGCCACACACCTAGTTCTTATAACCCCAATACTCAAGAATTCTCAATGTCTGGGTTGGGAGGGTATAGCTCAGGGGTAGAGCATGTGCTAAGCCCATGCACAAGGTCCTGAGTTCAATCCCCAGTACCTCCTTAAAAAAGTAATAATAAACAAACAAATAAATAAACCTAATTACCTCTCCTCCTGAAACAAAAACAAAGAGAAGAATTCTCAATGTCTACGCACATTTTGACTCCAACTTGGGTTCCACTACCACCTGCATCCCATTCTAGCTTGAAATAGAGACTAACCATCTCTGCAGGGATGTGCCATCTTTCTGCCTCCACAGCAGCTAATAAATATTAGCTTGAATAAACAAACAAGTGTTGTCAGCCATACGCTTGGATGCTATAATTAAGTTGCATCTCATCTGGGTAGAGAACTCTAGCACCTGTAAGTTGTTTCTTTGTAGAATCAACCTTCCAAACTTTTCATCATTTTTGTAGCTCCTTCCTGGATTTCATTCATGCATCAATCCCAGGTTTCCAAATTCAACAGCAAACTCAAACGGAAGTCTGACTCTCACGAAGGCTCCATTACCTCATGGTTCTCAGATACTAAATCCACATGGCATCACACCCACGTGACACATGGCTGGACCTTACTGCAGGCTCCCCTTTTTGAAGTGGTTCAGGTCTCCACCTCCATGAGTCAGTTACCCTGTGCTTACTAGTCCTGAACTACCACCAGTCTGCGTCCGTCTAACAGAACACAGCTAAATCATCCTGAATGTTAATCTCACTCCCTTTGTCACAGTCGCCGCTCACAGGTGAAGACGTGGGAAAAATTGAATGAGGTGGTCTTTATTCTATCATTTAAAGAATTAATAAGAATGTAAAATAATACTGGAAGGAAGTCAGACTTCAGATTGGAAAAACAGGCCTGGGTGGAAACTTGGGTCCAAGAAGATTAAAGAATTTCTAGCACAAGTGAAAAAGTCGTTTTCCCTTTACTCCTGCCTAGGTCTCAATAGGAAATGACGATTTATGAAGTCAAAAGCTCAGAATTCCATATATATATATATATATATATGGATGGCAAAAATCACAACAAATCACATTAAACCATTAAACTCTGGGTGGTAAAGCACATTTTTGGATGATCTGATCTCTAGTTATGAGATTAGTTAAGCTTTGGTTTTGAGCTCATTAATGCTACCTATATTAACTCTATTTATAATAATTAGCCTAAATACCAAACCCACATAAGACAGAGTGGACGGCTCAAGAGGCCACCTCTGTATCGAGCACCACTCACGCTGTCTGGCTCTGTTTCACACCCTGATTCTTGAAGCTGCTTCATGAGGAACATGGTGCCAGGTACTAACTTAAATCTTTGCAAACTAAGGGAGCTGGCCTGGCCCAGACCTGCAGGTTTCCACGTTCCCGGTAACTGGTTGAGGGTTTAACAATCTAGTTTTGATGCACACTAAACCATCACTACATGGGTGACCCTGGGCAAGTGACCTGCTCTCTTCAATCTGCTGTAAAGACTAATGAGATCACGCATGTCCAGCGTCCAGCACTGGGCCTGGGACGGGTGAACCCTCAGTGTCTGGGGCAGACTTCCCACGAGAGAGCATGCACACCCACACACGTACACACAGGGTAGGATTACAGAGAGAGAAATGATTACCATTTCTTCCCCACGGCTCAAGGAGACCTTCGCCAAAAAAAGAACCTCTCTGTGCAATGCAGGTAGCACTGGGGCTCCAAGCTCACCTTTATTTTATTATCTTATTTATTTATTTTGTTTAATTTTTCTTTTTTTTGGTGGGGAGAGAGTTAATTAGTTTGTTTGCTTATTAAATGGAGGGACTGGGGTTTGAACCCAGGACCTCGTGCATGCTCAGCACACCGTCTACCACTGAGCTATACCCTCCCCTCTCCAAGCTCATCTTTACAAGGAGCAACAGAGGTCTAGGCACTGTTTCCAGTTCTAGTTTCTTGAGCCCCTGGGTTTGCAGCGATGCCTTTGGGGCTGCTGTGGATGAGGATGGGACAGGGACAAGGAGGTTGAGCAGGTTCTTGGGGCCCCTGCTCCACCCTCCTCAAGCGAGGGGCAACTCCGCACTGGGCTTCTTGTCATGCTGCATTTGCAAAGAGGTTCCCGGAGCCCCTGTCTCTGTAAAGGAAACGCACTCCCTGGGCACGTGCTCGGAGCTGCCATAGCTGCTCTCTTTCGGAGCTGGTGGGGTCTGAGCCTGTGCGGCTGCTACCTGCAACCAGGCACATAGGCAACCAGGAGGGGAGGTGGCTGAGTACCAGTGCCAAGGACGCCCCAGTAACAGCTCCTCAGAGAGATACTCAAGGGCATCGGAAGAAGGAGCATGTGCTCTGCGATGTTGAGGAAGCTTCCCCACCGCCCCCACCAGTGCCCTCCGGGCGGCCTCTTGATGGCATGAGCGACAGCTAAAAGGGAGGCCAGAAATTGGGAGGCAGAGATTCACCCTTAATCCCCTCCAGTGACAGAACAGAACGAATCCAGAGACTGTGAGAAACACAATCAGAAGAGCCTCAGGGGCTCAGGGCAACGAGAGTCTTACACGCTAAAGATCTGTGAGCGCATTCAGGATGATTCTAGACACAGAACTAATTTCAGTGGGGAGGGCACAGCTCAGTGGTAGAGTGCGTGCCTAGCACGCATGAGGTCCTGGGTTCCATCCCAGTACCTCTATTAAAAATAAATAAAATAAACCCAATTACCTCCCTTTTCCCCCAAATTAAACAACAACAACAACAAAATTAAATTAAAAAAAAGGAAATAATCTCAAATCAGTACCTAGACTTGGTGAATGGTGTACAAGCTCTTGGTTACGATGCTTTGCCCACTTCTGGTTATGTGAACACATACGTGTCTTTTCTCATGCAACACTGCTCCAAGGGTCCACGTTTAGCCCCTTAGGAATTAACAAGATGGAAATCTGCTGTCTTTGACAGGAGCAGGGACCCATAAAAGAGACCCAGCCCAAGTCAGCTATTAACTGGTGCCGGATCTTGGGTTGTTACACTCTCTCAGAGCCATGATGCCTCCAACTAGAAAACGATCAATCAGACCAGCCTCCAAGACCCTGCAACTTGAATCGAGTCCTTAGTAAGCAACTTACTTAGCTCCTTCTCGCTGCCAGTGGGCATTTTTGCAGCTTTCACAAAAGGAGCCTTACACA